CACTCTCAAGATCTGACCTCTTTGGCCTTCCTCGTTAACTGCGTTTTTTTCATCTTTCCCCTCCCCATCTCCCTTGGCTCTCACGCCCAGCTCGGGTGCCAAGGCAAGATGATTAAGAAACTTGGGATGCCTCTGGATGTGAAAGATGCAATATAACTGTAAATTTGTATTGTATTATACTCTAACTCATTAAGAAAACTCGCTTACAGACGAATGGAGCTTCTTTCAGAGAGATGTGAATCATTAGCTTTCAGGACATGGCCTTTAAAGATGAAGACTAACTCTTATCCTGTTTAAGTTGTAAGAGGTTTAAGTTCAAGTTGTTAATGAGTACTTTAATAACTTGATGCGTTGCAACCAGAAACCAGTGGTTTACATTAGACACAGTGATGGCAAACATACACACGTAAAGTACTTTCGTAGTGATACTTTTTTACCTGTTAATTTTTCTCTTTCATTATTCTCTTCATTTCGTTCCTAAAGACATTTCTACTGGCCATAATCTGAGACCTTACCTGATTAGTCATTTTGTGAATCTTGACAGCACTGCTGGTGCCGAACATCCACACATAGGTATTATTTATATCCACCTCACTGTATTTTTGCCCACAAAATATATAGCTATATCAAATGCAAGGATTATTATTATTATATTATTATAGTCAATCCACTTTAGAATATATTGTAGAATATATTGTGGAGTCCTGTAGCTCACAGGTTAGAGCACTCGCCTCGCAAGCGAGAGGCCTGCTTCGATTCCCAGGCAGGGCGAAGCATTGGGCAAGTTTCCTTACTCCACACGCCACTGTTTACCTAGCAGTAAGTAGGAACCTGGTGATTGGCGGATTGTTAATCGATAATGCAAATTGATTATCGCAATAATGCAGTAATAATGCAAAGATTATTATTATACGTGCACCATCCAGCAGGAGTACCTGGCTAGCAGTGAAGAGTGGGAACATTAGCTAATTTTCACCTCCCTAACACAGGGTCTATGAGTTTATCGGTGACATCCCAAAAGCTGCCCAACTAAGATAAACTAAGTAGGCACAGACTGGGATTCATACCTGTAAGCTGTCAGTCTATGCATGTACAACAACAACTTGTGCCGTTCACGCAGGGTAGCGGCCCAGAGCACTTTACAGCGGTGGAGTCTGACAACGAGCCAAGGGAAGGGAGAGATGACCGTAAGCATGATCAAAAAGAAAGGTATTAAGGCAGGATTCGAAGGTGGGGAGGGAGGGGACAAGGCGGAGGAATTGAGTTCCAGAATTTCGGGGGCATAGTGGCTAAAGAAAGCACTCTGTAGCTCAGGGTTGTCTTTTCACTTCAGGCCAGCAAGGAGGCTCTTGATATCTTTTTTATTATATAAAAATATATACTAACAACATATCTGGGGCCTGAAATGTCTCATCTTCTTAGCAATGACACCCTCATCCTAAAATATACAATTGTGTGGAATTTTGAAAAAGTCTTAAATTCAGTAGTTAATTTGCAAGCTGATTTGCCCCAGTTCTTTCTTGAAGGAAATAATCCTCTAAACTAAACCTAAATTTAAGATTGATTCCCAAATGCCACGTGATTTTAAATTTTAAGATAATGGCATTCGACCAAATAACATGAGAAATCTCAGGCTCCTGAAGTGTCTCCAGTGGGCTAAATTCGGATACTTGATAAATTTATTACTTCAATGTGAACATTCATTTACAAACTCTGGATAGCAACCAATCCTTGATACTATGTAAATAAGACAAGAAATTGGCATTCTCACTTTTGAAGTGGATACAAATAAACTGCTTGAATTGATTTGTGTACAGCAATGAGTAACTTCCCTCCATCCCTCACGACACAATAAAAGAAAATAAGTCTTGTTAAAAAACTCTGCCGGGCATCAGCACTTCAGGGATCGATTGGAGCAGAGTCGCTGTAAACAAATCCAATTTGATTCAATAGGAATTAAAACAGGACACTAGATTGCAGTTGGAATTAGTTCAAAATTGAATCACACCCAGACGAAAACAATGAGAATTCAGTAAGAACTTGTGAAGAGCTTAAAATTACAGCACAGCAAGTACTGTATGTGTTGAGGAGAACTAATAAATTTTGGTGTAGTAATTCACCTATGAAATATCCAGTCACTACACTTAAATCCTGTGAAGCATTTGAGACGTCCTCCCAATGTGAAAGATGCTACAGCAAATGTGAGGATTGTTATTACAGAATATCTGCTGTATACAGCAAGTAGAATAAAACACTTACTCCCTGTTTCCCTGTTTAGCCAATTGATCCAACAACTCATGCAGCTACTGACGAGAATACTAAATGACCCTTCAGCTTTCACTTAAAAGCAAGTCTACAAGGTAATTCCTCAGTTTAGGATCTTAGATGTATATTTCTCAATGTATCATAGAAAATAATAATAGACTAATACTTCTTACATTTATATGGTGCCTTATTACATTGTTGAGACATCTCAAAGTGCTTCATAGGATATACTGTAAAGTGGATTGACTGTGTGTTCTGTGGGCAAAAGAAGGCAGCCAGTTGTGCACAACAATGTCCCACAAATAGCCATGGAGTGAGTGATCAATTTTATTTGGGGGATTGTTGGCACAGACCCTGGGAGAAATTCCCTTCTCTTTTCAAATAATGCCATGGGATCTTTGAAATCCACCTGAACAGGCAGACAGGACCTCGGTTTAACATCATCCAAAGAAACATAATGAAATTTGTTTCTTCACTTGTAACAGCAAATAAGTGAATATTGAATTATATCTCATCCCCCGCATACCTAGATGGTACTTTTTATCTAATACTGGCCAGTAATTGAATCTGGAACTGCATTTTCCACTATAAAAGAATGCTTCCTGCGGTTTGTTGAGGGTTTTGGAGCTCTACTCTATAGGCCTCCAGGTCAGTCTCCAGGGTTGAATTTCAAGACAAATAAGCAAGTAAGGGAAACAGCAAGCAGGAGATCAGGACTGCAATCGATGTGGCAGGAAACAAAGTGTTGTATCCCAAGTGGCGCAGGACTGCTTCTTGCCATGGGCCTATAGTTTGTTACCCCCATATTGCACCCTGGTACAGTCCTTCCACCGAGTGGAAGTCACAAACCCATATAATAATAATCCTTGCATTTCATATAGCGCCTTATCACGTCTTTGAGACGTCTCAAAGTGCTTCACAGAATACACTGTGAAGTGAATTGACTGTATGTTTTGTGGGCGAAACGCGGCAGCCAATTGCGCAGAGCAGGGTCCCACAGTCGTGGCTTGAATTCATTATTATTATTACCTCTGGAAAAGCGATCCGCCAATCGACTAACAACCGGGTTCCTACTTACTGCTAGATAAACAGAGGCTTGTGGTGTAAGGAAACTTGCCCAACATTTCGCCCTGCCAGGAATCAAACCCAGGTCTCTCACTTGCGAAGCGAATGCTTTAACCACTGAGCTACGGGAATCCAGTGGAAGTGTCCCTTAACAATAGGAGAGGTTTGGCAGGATCTAGGAAAACCCAATGTTTTCAGAACAATTAGTGACATTTCGAATCAAATTAGCTCAGTCTGTCTCATGGTGCCTTGATAAACAATATATGCGCTTGAGGTAGCCCTCTCATTTCTGGAGCAGAAAGAAATGTGGCAGAACATCACAGCGGGGCTCAATACTGCTGACAGCACCTTCAGGTGTTGTTACTGAGTAACAACATTGAGTGTTACTGAACAATACAATTCAGAACGGATTCAGGTTTAGTCACTGGCCTGTGACGAGCCAGCTCATCTCAATCAATCATGGCAACAACAACAACAACAACTTGGATTTATATAGCGCCCTCCACTCCAGACGGCGTCTCAGAGCGCTTCACAGTAACGGATCCCGGGGCTGAGCCAGGGGGAGGAAGGTGAAAGGCGCGGTCGAAAAGAAAGGTCTTGAGCAGAGATCTGAAAATAGGAAGAGAGGGGGCGAGGCGAAGGGAATGAGGAAGGGAGTTCCAGAGCCTCAGGGCATAGTGGCTGAAAGTACGGCCACCGAGGGTGGAGCGGAGGACTTAGGGGACAAGGAGGAGGCCAGACCCGGAGGACCAAAGACAACGGGCACCGTTGTGAGGAGAGAGGTCAGAGAGGTAGGCGGGGTGTAGAGGAGTGGAAGGATTTGAAGACAAGGGTGAGGATCACATGGTTGCTGGGTGAATAAGGGAGAAAGTCATCCTAGATTCCAACCATTGCCTACAAACCATGGACAGCAAACCACTGACAACAACCTACAGTACAAACCATTGCCCCCTTTTGTAAAGTGCGTGGATGTTGGGTGAGGAATGGATCAGCCTTGTCTGTAATTGCTGACACTCACCACCTTGGGTCACTCGTAAACAATAATCCTTTCTTCGAGGCACCCAGAGGCCAGCTCGTCTCTTTGGAACTCTCTTGTGAGTCAATGCCCTCAGGAAGAAATGAAAGTAAAATATTTTCCTTTCCTCCCAAGCCCATGTCATTTGTGCAATTCACTCAGTGAAAATCAGTTACAATAACTTCACAAAATTGCACTCGAGTAAAACTAGAAGTTGCAAATCTTTAGCGAAACTTCAATATCAGACCATTAGTGCCAACAGGAAAGGCGCTATATGAAATGTAAAGATGATGATTATTTTTATTTTATGCTGCTGGAAGCAAAGTCATTTCAGCAGCAGTGCAATGTTGAAGAAGAAAGCCGGATCTATATTTTCCTTTCTAAATCTAACACAATTTGGGATTTCTGCACATACACAATTTAGCACTGTCTGAACTCTGGTGTTACATTTTATAATATGACTTTCGAGCCCAGTCATAGGGCTCCAATCTGTATCACAGCGGATCAACCCTCCTGATTATATAGCAAGTAAGTGAGCTTTGCAGCCTGGACCCGGGCAAAGTGCAGGGGAAAGGTGGAGACCCATCTTTTGAAGATAGAAACCAGTTCCTGTTGCTTTGTGTGACACCAGTTGTGAATCATACAAACCAACAGGAGTCCTGTAGCTCAGTGGTTAGAGCGCTTACCTCGAAAGCAAGAGGACCTGGGTTCGATTCTCTGGCAGGGCGAAATGTTTCACCCACAAAATATATAGTCAATTCACTTTACAGTATATTCTGTGGAAGTGCTTTGAGGTGTCTCGAAGACGTGATAAGATGCCATATGAAATGCAAGGATTATTATTAGAATCACAGTGAAACCTGCAGTGTAAAGCAGCATTATCCTTTGAAAGGGTTAACAGCACTCGCATGTGTGATTCATTTGTCACTTATCATTCGTCAAATTTATTCATGAAAAGTGAAAGAAGCTAACTGCTAGAAAATGGACTTTCTAACCTAAGTACATAGAGTACATTTAAATGATAATTGAAAATATATTTAAAAAATCACTATTATACAGCAATAATTATATTGCTGTTTTCCACATATTAGGAAGGTTATTACTGTTACTGGAACGAAGCAATGTGGGGAGATTTGGGCTGCCGTGATAAGAATTTCTTTACACATTTGCTTTCTGAAACAAATCAAGTTATAGCTGTGAGTTCCCAGAGAAAGTAAATGCAATGCATTAGAATTGACACATGAAAGTGAAATGCCTACAATAATCACACCGCTGCAGTGCCATAATTTGTATATTTATCTGTTTTCAGCTTGTTGAATTCCATCTGTGGCATGCTAACTTTCAAAAGGGAATCTACCATTTTCAAGAGCATCCAAGGGGACTTCTGCTGAGCTTCTGCGTCGTGTGTTTCGGTACAAACAACAAGCTCAGGCTGGGCGGAATGGACCCATCACAAATCAGGTGTCATTTTACATTCTCAGACAGGTTTTGCGCTTCACAAAACTCACTCGTGTTCATTTGAACCTTAGACATATTCAGTTTATGAGAGCCAACACGTCTAACTCTGACACTCGATGGACTGCTACAGTACGCACAATGCACTCAGCAGTTTGTTCACATCTTGATAAAAGATGTCAAAGAGTTCCCGAAACAACAGTCGTTTTAAAAGTCTGCTAGCATTTGTTCATTCCATTTTTTAATAATGGAAAGTAGCAGATAATTCAATTTTTTAATTATCACAGCACTGTTATTCTGCAATTCTGTGTTTCATGTGATGGTTTATAACCCACTGTTTAGGATATACTTTCACAAGTTCATTCAAATTACGCCATGTACCAGCGATGTTTTTATAACTGTAAATTCATATTTCTTGCAATAGTTCTAGTATTATGTTTTGAACTGCCAACATAACAATAATAATCTTTCCCTTTTATATAGTTTGTTTCACATCAGAAGGATGTCTCAAAGTGTCACAATGTGAGGTAGTTAAGGGTTAATCAAAATAGGATGAATATTTAGGTTCATAGAGAAGGGACACAGGTGTTCAAAGCAAGATGGTCTGTTGAATTTGTTAGATTGAGATATCAATCTGTTTATTGCTCTTAAGGTGTAAAAATGTTGGTTAAGTGCTTTCGGTTTATGGCTTTTTGGTTAGATTTTGTGAGTTAATGGATTTTATGGTCTTGTCAGAGTCTTTTAATCTAAACGATAATTGAGTTAATGAGTTTGTTTTCAAACTGTCAAAGTACGAAGGATTGATTGAAGGAGGTCATTCTTAGTCAATTAGGAGTTGAGTTTGTCAAAGTACAGAGAACTGATTGGGTAAAAAAGTCACATTAGCATATTTGAGGTATAAAAGAGAGGGAGTGGCGTTATACGGGAGTTGTTGAGCTTTGGAGTTTTAACTAACATTTGACTTTAATATTACTAATTATAAAAACTCTGAATTTGAGGAACTTATAAGAGATGTGAATTTGGGGGAAGGTGGCTCTATTTGTTTACCCCTGGTGGTCCAATTGTTGAGGCTCAGTGGTTAGATATATTAAAAAGTATAAGATATTATGCCTTGTTAAAGTTATATTAACAAAGTATTATCAAAGTAATATACAAGTTATTTTTGCTTGGAATGCTCCAAATGTGGGAATTTATATACTGAAGCATATGGGTTTGAATGATTAAGAAATATTTTATTAAAATATTTTGTATTTTATGTATTTTGTGAGACCGCTCTGAACAGGCACATAACCTAATAGCAATTAGAGAAGAGAATGATGACTCCTTTCAGAGTGCACCTGGAAGGAGTGTGTAATTCTCACCCAGAGATAAGATACTGTGACAACAGTATTTACTGTAAAGTGTAGTAACTGTGTATTTTATAGGTGAACATGGCAGCCAATTTGTGCACATTAATGTCTCACCGATAGTCATGAAGTGAATGATTAGGTGGGGAAGGGATTGTTGGCCATCACACAGGGAGAAATGCCTTTCTTTTTATTAAATAGTTCCATGGGATTTTTAACGTCCACCTGAATGGGTAGAAGAGACCTCAGTTTAACGTCTCTCAACCAAACAAAGCAACCTTCAACAATGCAGCACAAGCCAGTTCAACAATCTGATGTAAGGTATGAAACACTGCAATTTCACTGTAAACTCCTCGTTTTAATGAAATTAAATCTGTGGCATTTATTTCACAATGCATATCCAAAGGAAGGCTTTATATAATGCTATAAAATTCACCCCAATATCTACACAAAAACGGAGACTTGAAGTCAGAATTGGTTCACCATGAATAATGATATCACTGAAATTTATTTTGAAACTTGGCAACTATGTCAACAATCTGACAGGAGAAACTGGCAAAAGGAATGAGTAGACAACTGGAAAATCAGAGTGTAACAATTAGCCAATTAATCAGCTGTAAAACAAAATGGCCAATTTCCATGTCATCAAGTTGCTGCTGATATTACCAAGGACATTGTTTGTCTCAGCACATTTCTGCATTGCCCCAGTAAGAAATGAAAGCCTAGGAAAATTCATATCCTATATTCAGCGAAGCCTTTTACAATGTGATGGTTTGACTGTAAAATCCAGTCTCACACTAGCTGGTTTCACTGCTCATATGCACAGCTGGCCACTCACTCTCTGTACGCTGGCCAGTGCCCTCACTAAACAAAATGGCAAATTTCCAGGTCACAAGTTGCTGCTGATATCACTTCCTGCTTTAAGCATGTATAGAAAACAGGATGTGTTCTCTGTGGTGACTTAATGATCCAGGATGTTGGCCATTTTAGCATGAGAACTAGTCAGCATGCAGAAATCAAGTGGGTCAGCTGGGAACATGTGTGGGTTGAATGGAATGCACCCCATGACAATGTTATAGCCAAATTTCTGGGGCCGCATTGTATTCTTCTGTGGTCCCATATAGTTCAGATCTGGTTCAGTTTAATCTCCCCCCACCACATAGTAAAGAAAGAAGTTGCATTTTTCAATGATATCTCAAAGAGTTTCAGAGGTGCTTCTTGTAATGTATCATAGCTTTTTAAACATGGCAATAGGATCCCAAAAACAGCAATGAGGCAAATGATCAATTAAGATGGAGGATTATTGGCCAGGGCACTGGCAAAAGAACTTTTATTTTTGAATAATTTCGTAGAATCCCTTAGATCAACCGAGAGGCAGATCTAGAGGTGAGACCTTGTTTAATATCTCATGACACCCACGACAATGTGAAGTTCCCCCAGTCCTGGAATGGGGAACTGGAGTGTCAACAGAGATTGTGAGCTCAAGTCTTGACTGTGTTCTCTATCACATCAATTACTGCACCATCGGGATCTAAGTAATCGATGTTTATTGATACATATTCTGCAAACTAGCTACTTTTAGTCACTTCTTTGGTTTACATATTTCTGCAAAGAGCAATATTTTCTATTATTTCTAGACAATAAGATTCATATTGTTTGCTTCCTCCACGTATTTCCCCTATGTTCCTGAAGGCACTGACTTGGGCTGACGTACATTTAAAAATGTATCTTTGCCCAAGTATACACTCTTCATGTATCAGAGAAGACAATAAGTGTCGGCAGCCTATTCACAGGAGGCAGCATATCAGCTGAGCTGCATCCTTTCCTCACTGAAGATCATCCATTAACATGTTCCAGTAACAATCACTGCATCCTGTTCAAGACTGGAATGTTGGTTGATGTTTCCCCTGTTCCAACACATAAAGAGCTCCTCTACTGCACCCTTAGCTGAGGTGAGCTAACTCAGCACAGATCAGAGATTGAATGAATTCATTTGTCAAGGAGAGAGAGTGGCTGAATGTTTCTGTGTTGTTTCCTGTAGTGTTAGGATCATTGTTTGTGTTCTTATTTCCTATGTATTGTCTATTCTGATCTCAGACATACAAAGGCTCCAGGTTGATGCCACATATTTCCCCCTCGAGGAGGAAAATAGTCACCTGAAACCAGTCTCACTAAGGTCCAAATAACTAGCTGTATAGCTACGTTGGCAAGAGCCTGGGAATACATCTCAGTCTCCGTAGAGTATTTCTCATAATTAGGGAAAGGAAGAAAAATAGTGCAATCATTTAGAGGAAACGGCATTCTTTTGGCTGGCAGAGTGGTAGCTGTTGGCCCAGAGACCAATAGCCATTATGCTATGAAGAAGATAATATAGGTTTGTTTCACAGTTAACACAAATAAAGTTTCACTCAATAACACAAAGCTGAGGCTTTGATGAGTTCACATCAGCGCTTTTGGGATTTGTTCTCATTGCTTATAATGACATCTGAAGCCCTTGACTATGTTCCTGTTTTGAAAGGCCCTCATATGGATCCATTATTCAGTGAGGAGCTGTTTTCTTAGAACAGGAAGGCTGACTGATGGAGATCACTTGTGACTGATTAGCTTTCCTATAGTTAACAAGACAAACAGCAGGGAACTGCAGGAGCACGCACTGCTGGTTAATTAATTCAGAGAAACATCTACCCCCCCCCAACAACCTTTACATTTGTCTCTGGCAGGAACTGCAGTTGTCAGCTTGTTAAATAAATAACCTGACAGTTACTTCAGTCACTTGTTGCACAAATGTATGCTGCATATGCGTCAGTGATGCATAGGCTACCACTCACCAGTTCTTGGAGATTTTTTTTAAGTAAAAGTAGTTCATGCACTCTATAGACATAATGTGATGTGAATCTTTGGGAGGAATAATATTAAGAATCATTGCAG